CATCCTCTCCAGCATAAATTGTCTTCGGTGTTTTTAATTTTAGCCATTCTGACAGGAGTAAGATGGTATCTCAGAGTTGTTTTGATTTGCATTTCCCTAATGGCTAAGGATGTTGAGCACTTTCTTGAGTGTCTCTTGGCCATTTTAGTCTCCTCTATTGAGAATTCTCTGTTTAGTTCTGTACCCCATCTTTTAATTGGATCCTTTGGTGTTTTTGAGACTTGCTTCTTGAGTTCTTTGTACATTTTGGAGATTAGCTCTCTGTCAGATGTGGGGTTAGTGAATATCTTTTCCCATTCTGTGGACTGCCTTTTTTGTCTTGTTGACTGTGTCCTTTGCCTTACAGAAGCTTTTTAGTTTCATGAGATCCCATTTGTTAACTGTCAATCTCAGTGTCTGTGCCACTGGTGTTATGTTCAGCAAGTGGTCCCCCATACCAACTCGTTGAAGAGTATCTCCCACTTTCTCTTCTAAAAGTTTCAGTGTGGCTGGATTTATGTTGAGATCTTTGATCCATTTGGACTTAAGTTTGTACAAGTCGATAAACATGGATCTATCTGCAGTCTTCTGCATACCAGTACCCAGTTATGCCAACACCATTTATCGAAGATGCTTTCTTTTTTCCATTGTGTAGTTTTAGCTTCTTTGACAAAAATCAAGTGTTCATAGGTGTGTGGGTTAAAATCAGGGTTTTCAATTCGGTTCCATTGGTCTACCTGCCTATTTTTGTGCCAATACCAAGCTGTTTTCAGGACTATAGCTCTATAATAGAGCTTGAAGTCAGGTATGGTGATGCCTCCTGAAGTTCCTTTATTGTATAGGGTTGTTTTGGTTATCCTGGGCCTTTTGTTTTTCCCTATAGAGTTGATTAATGTTCTTTCCAGGTCTGTGAAGAATTGTGCCGGAATTTTGATAGGGATTGCATTGAATCTGTAGACTGCTTTTGGCAAGATTGACATTTTTATTATGTTGATCTTACCAATCCAAGAGCATGGGAGATCTTTCCATTTTCTGGTATCCCGTTTGATTTCTTTCTTTAAAGACTCAAAATTCTTGATATACAGGTCTTTTACTTCCTTGGTTAACATTATCCCCAGATATTTGATGCTTTTTATGGCTATTATAAAGGGGGAGGTTTCTCTGATTCCTTTCTCAGTGACTTCATCGATTGTAGGAGTTCCCTTGAGGAGTTTTTTGGGTCACGTATATAAACTATCATATCATCTGCAAATAGTGAAAGCTTGACTTCTTCTTTTCCTATTTGTATCTCCTTGATCTCCTTTTGTTGTCTTATTGCTGTAGCTAGAACTTCAAGTACAATATTGAAGAGATATGGAGAGAGTGGGCAATCTTGTCTTGTTCCTGATTTTAGAGGAACTGCGTTGTGTTTCTCTCCATTTAGTTTGATGTCAGCTGTTGGTTTACTATATATTGCTTTTATTATATTCAGGTATGTTCCTGTTATCCCTGATCTCTCTAGGACCTTTATCATGAAGGGGTGCTGGATTTTGTCAAAGGCTTTTTCAGCATCTAGTGAGATGATCATGTGGTTTTTCTTTTGCAGTTTGTTAATATGGTGGATTACATTGATAGATTTTCTAATGTTGAACCATCCCTGCATTCCTGGGATGAAGCCTACTTGATCATGGTGGATGATTTTTCTGATGTGTTCTTGAATCCAGTTTGCTAGTATTTTATTGAGTATTTTTGCATTGATGTTCATGATGGAAATTGGTCTATAGTTTTCTTTCTTAGTTGTGTCTTTGTGTGGCTTGGGTATCAAGGTAATTGTAGCCTCGTAAAAAGAGTTTGGCAGTGAGCCTCCTGCTTCTATTGGGTGGAATACTTTGAGGAGTATTGGGATTAACTCTTCTTTGAATTTCTGGTAGAATTCTGCACTGAAGCCATCTGGGCCTGGGCTTTTTTTTTTTTTTTGTTTGGGAGACTTTTGATGACTGCTTCTATTTCATTAGGGGTTATAGGTCTGTTTAGATTGTTTATCTGTTCTTGATTTAGTTTTGGCAAGTGATATCTATCCAGGAAATTTTCCATTTCCTTTAAGTTTTCAAATTTTGTGGAGTACAGATTTTCAAAGTATACCCTGATGATTCTCTGGATTTCCTCAGAGTCCGTTGTTATGTCCCCTTTTTCATTTCTGATTTTGTTAATTAGCATGCTCTCTCTCTGTCTTTTGGTTAGTTTGGACAGAGGTTTGTCTATTTTGTTGATTTTCTCAAAGAACCAACTCTTTGTTTCATTGATTCTTCTCAATGTTCTCCTGGTTTCTACTTGATTGATTTCAGCCCTCAATTTGATTATTTCCTGGCGTCTGCTCCTCCTGGGTGAGTTTGCTTCTTTTTGTTCTAGAACGTTCAGCTGTGCTATTAATTCTCTAGTATGACTGTTCTCCAGTTTCTTCATGTGGGCACTTAATGCTATGAAATTTCCTCTCAGCACTGCTTTCAAAGTGTCCCATAGGTTTGCATATGTTTTGTCTTCATTCTTATTGAATTCCAGGAAGTCTTTAATTTCTTTTTTTATTTTTTCCTTTACCCAGGGATGGTGCAATTGTGCATTGTTCAATTTCCATGAGTTTGTAGGGTTTCTGTGATTTGTGTTATTGTTGAATTCTAATTTTAATGCATGGTGGTCTGATAAGATACAGGGGGTTATTCCAATTTTTTTGTATCTGTGGAGATTTGCTATGTTTCCTATTACGTGGTCAATTTTAAAGAAGGTTCCATGTGGCGCAGAGAAGAAAGTATATCCCTTTGTGTTTGGGTGGAATGTTCTATAGATGTCTGTTAAACCCAGTTGGGTCATGACTTCTATTAGTTCTTTTGTTTCTTTGTTAAGTTTCTGTCTGGAGGTCCTGTCTAGTGGTGAGAGCGGAGTGTTGAAGTCTCCTACTATTAGTGTGTGAGATTTTATGTGCATTTTGAGCTTTAGTAATGTTTCTTTCACAAATGTAGGTGCCTTTGTATTTGGGGTGTAGATGTTTAAAATTGAGACTTCATCTTGATGGACTTTTCCTTTGATGAATATGAAATGTCCTTCTTCATCTCTTTTGATTGATTTTAATTTGAATTCTAGTTTGTTAGATATTAGGATTGCTATACCCGCTTGTTTCTTGGGTCCGTTTGATTGGAAAATCTTTTCCCAACCCTTTACTCTGAGATACTGTCTGTCTTTGATGTTGAGATATGTTTTTTGTATGCAGCAGAAGGATCGTTTCTGTCTTCATATCCATTCTGCTAGTCTGTGTCTTTTTATAGGCAAATTGAGGCATTGACATTGAGGGATATCAATGACCATTGATTGATGATTCTTGTTTGTGCTTGATTTATTAGTAGTGAAGTTATTTTGTGTAGTTTCTCCTCCCTTTTTCTTTTGGTGTTATGTAAAGTGGGATTATATATTGCCTGTGTCTTTGTGAGTGTAGTTATCTTCCTTGGATCTAGGTTTTCCCTCTAGCACTTTCTGTAGAGCTGGATTCATGGATACGTATTGTTTAAATCTGGCTTTGTCATGGAATATTTTGTTTTCTCCATCTATGGTAATTTAAAGCTTTGCTGGATATAGTAGTCTGGGCTGGCATCCTTGTTCTCTTAGCGTTTGTAGGACATCTGTCCAAGATCTTCTGGCTTTCATCGTTTCCATTGAGAAGTCAGGTGTAATTCGGATAGGTCTGCCTTTATATGTTACTTGGCCTTTTTCTTTAGCTGCTCTTAATATTTTCTCTTTATTCTGTAGGTTTGATGTTTTGATTATTATATGGCGAGGTGACTTCTTTTTTTGGTCCAGCCTATTTGGTGTTCTGTAAGATTCTTGTATTTTCATAGGCATATCCTTCTTTAGGTTAGGGAAGTTTTCTTCTATGAGTTTGTTGAATATGTTTTCTGTACCTTTGAGCTGTATTTTTTTGCCTTCTTCTATACCTATTATTCTCAGGTTTGGCTTCTTCATGGTGTCCCATATTTCCTGGATATGTTGTGTTAGGGATTTATTGGCTTTGAGATTTTCTTTGGTTGACGACTGTATATCCTCTAACGAGTCTTCAACACCTGAGATTCTCTCTTCTATCTCTTGTATTCTATTGGTGATACTTGCATCTGTAATTCCTGATTGTTTACCCAGCTTTTCTATTTCCAGCATCCCCTCGTTCTGTGTTTTCTGTATTGTTTCTATTTCAGCTTTCAATCCTTCAACTGTTTGAGTTGTTTCCTTCATTTGTTTGGTTGTTTTTCTTGGTACTCTTTAGATACTTTGAGAGATTTGTTTATTTCTTCAATTTTTTCCCCCATTTCATGGACTTTTTGTTTGTTTTTTCCTCTACTTCTTTAAGGGATTTCCTTGTTTCTTCTTTGAGGGTCTCTATCATCTTCATAAAATGATTTTTAAGGTCTGTCTCCTCTGCTTCATCTATGTAGTGCTTTTCAGGTCTTGCTGGCGTTGGTTCCCTAGATTCTGGTGGAGTCATGTTGGTCTTTTGATTGCTGAATGAGCTCTTATTCTGTCTTCTTCCCATCTGTTCTTCTAGTGGGTGCTGGTGGGGTCTTTCTGTCTCTCCACTGGTCTCCTTCCTTCCTGAAGCTCAAGCTGGGATCGCTGGAGTTTGGGGCCTGACTGGGGTCTCTGGAGTTTGGGGCCTGAAAGGGCTGATGTCTTTCCTTTGTGGGCAGGTCTTCTGGATGCCAGGAATGGCCCTGGAAGATTGAGGGGATGGGTGTCAGATGGAGGATGGGGAGTGTCCTCCCAGAGACCCAAGCTCCAGAATATGAACTCTTAGGCTGACTCCAAGTCACATTTTTGTTATGTCATTCTTTATATGTCTTTGTGTTATCTCTTGTTTTTATTCAAACATTCAATTTATTTTTAAGTGAATAGCACAGTAACATATACTAAGAGATTAAAAAACACTAATGAACCAAAAGAACACATCAATACTGTTTTGAAATACTTGTGAACACAGTGTTGTTATACATAATTTTTTCTATTAGTTTTTACCAGCAGAGCATGTATGTAGACCCCCAAAACATACAAAATGTGATATACCTGAAGTGTGCAATGGGAGCTCAGGATTATGTCCATCTGATTTAAAAGTACTTGATGGGCTCGTCTGCAGAGACGGTGGGTCTATCTGTTATAATGGAGACTGTCCTGACATGAATAAGCGCTGTGAGACAATATATGGAAAAGGTAAATTTTTTTTGTTACATTTAAATCAGTGACTCTCACTATTTCTTTTCACATTGCTAGAAAACAGGAATCATTAAATAGATTTCAATTTTTATTTAATATTAATATGTTTTTAATGTATTTTTTTACTGAAATGTAAATGTCACCTTGATAATTTGATATCTGTATAAATGATTATATATTTGCCATAAGCAAGCTAATTAAAAATATATATTATCATAGGCCCTGTTTCTCTTTTAGCTTTAAATAAAATATTAAGATCTAAGATCTTAGCAAATTTCAAGTGTACAAGAGATTATTGTTTGCTATTGTTATACTGTTGTATTTAGATCTTTTGAGCTGGACCATTTTATACAAATCAACCTCTTGAATCTCTTGACAGACATCTCTTTCCCCCCTTATCGCAGTCCCTAAAAACTACCATTTCATACTATCCTTCTGTGAATTTGACAGTTTCAGATTTCACATAGAGTGAGATGACACAGTTCTTACTTCTGTACCTGGCTCATTTCACTTAGCACAATGTCTTGTAGATTCATTCTTGTGACAAATAACTTCATCTTTACTATAACTGAATCTATCTATCTATCTATCTATCTATCTATCTATCTATCTATCTATCTATCACCTATCCATATCTATCTTTTTTCCGTTTTTTTTTTTTTTTGCTTTTTTTTTTTTTGGTTTTTCGAGACAGGGTTTCTCTGTGGCTTTGGAGGCTGTCCTGGAACTAGCTCTTACAGACCCAACCTGGTCTCGAACTCACAGAGATCCGCCTGCTTCTACTTCCCAAGTGCTGGGATTAAAGGTGTATGCCACCAATGCCCGGCTGCTATGGTTTCTTAATGGCTAGCTCTGACTTAATTATTAACCCATAATTACTAATATATATTTTTATAAGGTCTTATCTTACTGAGAATGCCAGTATTGTGCCTTCTCCTCCCAGGATCACATGGCGACTCTCTACTCTTGACTACATTTCCCAGAATCCTCCTCGACTCCTAATCCCACCTATCTTGCTTCCCTTTTGGTCAATAGTGCTTTATTTGTCAACCAATATGACAATATATACACAAAAGGACTTCCCCTATCATATACCTACATCTTAGGCATTTGAACTAGACTCACAGAAAACCAGCCAACTTCCTAGTGAAGTTGTAGATTTTTGTGTGTTTGTCCTCTAGATCCTGAGTAGGAACTTGCTCTATGCAAGAGACTTATTTCAACATACATAGATTGATATGAAGAGATGGGAAAGACTTTTTTATTACACAATGATAAAGAAGTCAGTTAGTCAAGAAGACATAAATCTATGCGCAGTTGGTGTCAGAATACCTAAACATATACATCAAGTATGGGAAGGGAGATAGATTGCAATACAGAAAGTGTAGGGGAAATTAGTTAATCACGATGCACAAGATGATTATTCTGACAGATAATCAATTAGAAAATTGTTGGTTGCTTTTCTGGATTACTATGAAGAAAAACCCCTATCTGTCTATGCAAAATTTCCCTTTTGTTTCCTCTACAAGGTCTTTGAATGCTGTTGGATTACTGACCCCTTAGTTGAGCTACAAGAGACAACCTAAAATGACTATGAGTAAGGTGAAACTGCATTGGGAAAGTTATCTGGAAAGATCACAAAAGAGTTTATTTCAAATATTATGCTTAAAAAATATACCTAGGGCTGGAGAGATGGCTCAGCCATTAAAGGCTAGGCTTGTAATCAAAAATAAAAAGCCCTCTATAGTTTCTAGTAGAACAGATATAGTTCATATTTGACATCCAGGTTTTGATTGCCAAATTCATATAAAAGATAAATGGACATGGTTGAAGTCCAACCAGTGGTTAGTGCCAGTTGACTATGTATGGTCCTTATTAATTATGTAAATACTTACTTAGCATCTTAATTTGGTGAGATAGCCTTCTTCCTTTGAAAATATAGACAAGAATTAGGTGAGAACAACAGTGCTGAGGCCAGAGAGATTCCTGTTCTTACAGAGCTTAAATTCCAGTGAAGTGGGGCATCAGACAATAAAAAAATATGGATAGACAAATAAAAATGAATAAAATAAAAAGGCATAATGATATGAGTTATGTTAACAAAAATAGACAAGTTATCAAATAGTGCAAAACCATAGGCAGGATGATAGGACCAAGTCCTATCTGCAATGCCCAGATGTGCTTGTTTGAGAAAATGAAACTTCAGAAAAAAATGGGAACAGTGAGAAGGCATGGCTTGGAAAGAGCATTCCAAGGAGAGAAATATAGTCAATGTTTTAGTACTTTCTGGAGTGTGGGCACAGTACAGGATATGAAGATTGGAAAACAGGTATTTCTGATAGTCTTGGGAACACCAGCTATAAATTTACCTTTATTGCTGCTTAATAACTAATTTTGCTACAGAGTGGTGTCTCAGTTCTCAAGACTGTAAGAAATAGTGTTTTCCCATGTTTGTGACACACATATTGAGACTTGCTGACCTAAGTCCTGGTGGGTGTATGACTGAAAAGTAGTCTATCAGGATCAGAATTATTATTAATTTTGTTTTGTTTTTGTGTGTAGTGATAAATGTGTTGAAATATGTAACTATGGTTTTGGTTTAATAAAGATCATTGTAGTTGTATTTTAGTAGTAGACAGTATGGGTGGGAACCACTGGAAAATAACATGGTAGAGAAGATGAGATGTGACCACACTTAGGCTGTGTTTATGAGGTTTTGTCAAGAAGACTCCAGTTAGGAGATGGAGGCAGACAGTTATGGGGAAGTAGACTCAAGGCTATGTCTAAGTTTGGCCTCATCATTCAACTGACTAATGGTATAAAATAAAAGCATGTAGGGCTAAAGTAGGGTTTGGTTTGAGATATTAGGTTGAAATGCCTATTAGTCAAGACAAGATCAGTTCTATGCCAGGTAGGAAAGCTAACATTTCTGTGGGCTCTTTTTCTCAGCTAGTGTGGAATGAACTGTGTTTAATTATCTCTGATAGTTGTCAGGGGAGGCAATGTCAAGCCCTTTACTGCTCCATGACACTTCTTGAAGCATTACCTCATTGTTTACAGCAATAACCTAATATTTTATTTTATTTACTTATAAATAAGAATACAATATTTTATTACCCTAGTCCCCTCTATCAAAAGCAATCTATTAAAATGCATCTGTTATATTTGGTTGTATTTCATAGAGCTTAATAATGTAGTACGGAGAATTGAAATACAGTATCTTGTTCCTGAATAGGTGACTTCTATTATTACTTAGGAGACTTGGTAAATGCCTCAGATTTAAGGCAAAGTTTACCTGATGACTTCACATTTGCAAAATTCTTTCCTTTTAATATCTCAGTCTCACTGTGGGGAACTAAGTTTGATTAAAAGTGAGTCTTTAATACTAATGACAAAGGGTGTCTAAGACATACTCTCCCTACTAGCTTCATTTCCAGTGACTGTGATGAAATACCCTGACTAAAGCAACTTGGGGGAGAAAGAGTTTCTGGTTCCAGGTTCTAGTCCATCATTTCAGGAGAGTGTGAGTTGGTTGAGATAGCTTGTCACAGTACATCTACTGTCAAAGGCAGAGAGAATGAATGATGCATGGATTGCTTGTGCTTAACCCTGTTTCTGTACTTATACAGTTCAGGACTCAAATGTAGGGACTAACACCACCCATGGTGAATTGGGTCTTCCCAAATCAAACCTCACAAAGACATGCCCACAGACCAGCCTGATCTAGAGAGTCCTTCACAGAGACACTATTCCCATATTATTTTCTATATTGTCAAGTTGACATTAAAACCAACCAGTTTAAACCATCTCCTATTTTCTAGCACCTCCTATAAATGCCCCTAAGTTGCAAATCTGTCAGTGGATTAATCCCCTGATTAGAGAAGATACTTATGATGCCGTTACTCTTCCATGATTTCATACAGTCCCCAAGACGAAGCCTTTAGCAATCAGACATTTGGGAAGACTTACCTCCTAAGAAATGGCGCCTTTTGTTGCTTTCTTTGATGAAGCCCTCTCTTCTACACACACTTCTATAACTCTTGCTTCTCTTGTATTCTATATTATGGAAGTGAATACAATGTAGCAAAACAGCATTAACTATAGTCATGAACACCTTTCTCTTCCTTCTTTCTCTGTCCTTATAACTTACTAGGAAACCTTTTGAGTTAGGTAATAATAGATACAGAGGTAAAGGAAATAAGGTGTATGAGGATATGTCGGAACATAATATATATGCATATATATATTAATCTAAATATGTTTCTAATTTTGATAGGTTCACGGAATGCTCCATTTTCCTGCTATGAAGAAATTCAGAGTCAAACTGATAGGTTTGGCAATTGTGGTAAAGACAATCAAAACAGATATATATTCTGCGGATGGAGGTGTGCCACACAAAATGACGACACTCTCTATGTTTTATATTTTCTATTTAGCTTTTCTCTTTAGTATATACCATGAATTCCAGTTATTTCAAGTAGCCCATTTGCATAGCAGTGAGTGGAAGCCTGAACAAAGATCCAGGCCTAGACATTGTTCTGCTACAAGATAACATACAAAGTATTTATTTGTAGGTGATGATTTGGCCCCTAAATCCAATCTGAAACTTATACTCACAATGCTGCAGAGCCTTTACCTCCAAAGTTAATGTTTTTCTTGCTTATAAAAATGATCCCTTTGACTACATGTGTATAAAATTAAGCTCAATTTCTCATGCATCCTCAGAGAGAACCTTTTCATATTTCGTTTGAATTTTGTAAAAATATTAAGGTTCTGTTATGTACTAAACACTGGATTTAAATAATAATTGGCAGCACACTCACACACACACAGACACAGAGACACATACAGACACACAAAAACGCATATACAGACAACACATATACACATAGACACACATATGCTTAAGACACACACACAGACACACACACACAAACACACACACGTACAAACGCATGCACGCACATGCTCATGCCATTTGTAGGTTCTTTATTTTTTTATCATTTATTTTTAAATTTAAATTTAAATTAGAAACAAGGTTGCTTCACAAGTCAGTTCCAGGTCCCTCTCCGTTTCCCTCTCCTCCTCCCGTGCCCTCCCACCAATCCCCCGCAATATCACCTCATTTCCCCAGGGAGGGTAAGGCCCTCCTTGGGGGTGTCCATAGTCTGTCATTTCATCAAGGGCAGGGCCTAGACCCTTCCCCAAGAGTTCAGGGTGAGAGTGCATCTCACATTGTTGGATGGGAGTCCAAAGTCCATGTGTATACTCGGGATAAATACTGATCTACTACTGCCCAAGGCCTCCTCACTGACACCCACATTCAGGGGGTCTTGATCAGTCCCATGCTGGATTCCCAGGCTTATCAGGTCAGCTGTTTCTGGGGGTTAAACCAGCCCAGTCTTAATCCCTTTGGTCATCAGTCCTCCCTCTCTGTTACTGGCTTTCTTGTGTTCACCTCAGTGCTTAGCCATGGGAGTCTGTCTCTTCTTCCATCAACCACTGAATGAAAGTTCTGTTTCCCAGAAATCTGGCCATAGGATTGTAGGCTGGCACTCCCCAGATCTATGTCTAAAATCCATATATGAGAGAGTACATGCCATGTTTCTCTTTTTGTGACTGGGTTACCTCACTCAGGATGGTTTCTTCTAGTGTCATCCATTTGCCTGCAAATCTCAGGATTCCTTTTTTTTTCTGCTGAATAGTACTCCATTGTGTAAATGTACCACATTTTCTCTATCCACTCTTCGGTTGAGGGGCATCTAAGTTGCTTCCAAGTTCTGGCTATTACAAATAATGCTGCTATGAACATAGTGGAACAGACATCTTTGTTGTATGAATGGGCATCTTTTGTATATATGCCTAAGAGTGTAGTTGCTGGGTCTTGTGGTAGGTTTATTCCCATTTTTATGAGGAATCTCTATATTGATTTCCAAAGTGGCTGAACAAGTTGACACTCCCACCAGCAATGGAGGAGTGTTCCCCTTTCACCACATCCTCTCCAGCATAAATTATCATTAGTGTTTTTGATTATAGCCATTCTGACAGGAGTGAGATGATATCTCAGAGTTGTTTTGATTTGCATTTCCCGTATGGCTAAGGATGTTGAGCACTTTCTCAAGTGCCTCTCAGCCATTTTAGGCTCCTCTATTGAAGATTCTCTATTTAGTTCTGCAGCCCACTTTTTAATTGGATCCTTTGGTGTTTTGGAGACTTGCTTCTTGAGTTCTTTGTAAATTTTGGAGATTAACCCTCTGTCAGATGTGGGGTTAGTAAATATATTTTTCCCATTCTGTGGGCTGCCTTTTTGTCTTGCTGACTGTGTCCTTTGCCTTACAGAAGCTTCTCAGTTTCAGTAGGTCCCATTTATTAATTGTTGATCTCACTGTCTGTGCTAGTGGTGTTATGTTCAGGAAGCTGTCTCCTGTACCAATTCGTTCAAGGGTACCATCCACTTTCTCTTCTAAGAGGTTCAGTGTGGCTGGATTTATTTTGAGGTCTTTGATCCATTTGGATTTATGTTTTGTGCATGGTGATAGACATGGATCGATCTGCATTCTTCTACATGCCAGCCTCCAGTTTTGCCAGCACCATTTGTTGAATATGCTTTCTTTTTTCCATTGTATATTTTTAGCTCCTTTGTCACAGATCAGATGTTCATACGTGTGTGGGTTAATATCAGGGTTTTCAATTCGATTCCATTGGTCTACCTGTCTATTTTTGTGCCAATACCAAGCTGTTTTCAGGACTATAAGTCTACAATAGAGCTTGAGGTCAGGGATGGTGATGCCTCCGGATGTTGCCTTGTTGATCAGGGTTGTTTTGGCTATCCTGGGTCTTTTGTTTTTCCATACAAAATTGATTATTGTTCTTTCAAGGTCTGTGAAGAATTGTGCTGGGATTTTAATGGGGATTGCATTGAATCTGTAGATTGCTTTTGGCAGGATTGCCATTTTTACTACATTGATTCTACCTATCCAAGAGCATGGGAGATCTTTCCATTTTCTGGTGTCTTCTTTAATTTCTTTCTTTAAAGATTCAAAGTTCTTGCGATACAGGTCTTTCACTTGTTTGGTTAGCGTTACCCCAAGGTATTTTACGTTGTTTGTGGCAATTGTAAAGGGTGATGATTCTCTGATTTCTTTCTCAGCCCTTTTATCATCTGTATATAGTGGGGCTACTGATTTTCTTGAGTTGGTCTTGTAGCCTGCCACTTTGCTGAAGGTATTAATCGGCTGTAAGAATTCCCTGTTAGAGCTCTTTGGGTCATTTTTGTAAACTATCATATCGTCTGCAAATAGTGAAAGTTTGACCTCTTCCTTCCCAATTTGTATCCCCTTGATCCCCCTTTGTTGTCGTATGGCAATGGCTAGAACTTCAAGTACCATGTTGAAAAGGTATGGAGAGAGTGGACAGCCTTGTCTTGTTCCTGATTTTAGAGGAATTGCGTTGAGTTTCTGTCCATTTAGTTTGATGTTAGCTGTTGGTTTACTGTATATAGCTTTTATTATGTTTAAGTATGTTCCTGTTATCCCAGATCCCTCTAAGACCTTTATCATGAAGGGGTGTTGGATTTTGTCAAAGGCTTTTTCAGCATCTAGTGAGATGATCATGTGGTTTTTCTTTTTCAGTTTATTTATATGGTGATTTACATCGATCGACTTTCATATGTTGAACCATCCCTGCATCCCTGGGATGAAGCCTACTTGATCGTGGTGAATGATTGTATTGATGTTTTCTTGGATCGGATTTGCCAGTATTTTATTGAGTATTTTTGCATCAATTTTCATGAGGGATATTAGTCTGAAGTTCTCTTTCTTAGTTGTGTCTTTGTGTGGCTTGGGGATCAAGGTTATTGAAGCCTCGTAGAGTTTGGCAAAGACCCTTCTGCATCTATTTCATGGAATACTTTGAGAAGAATTGGTATAAGCTGTTCTTTGAATTACTGGTAGATTTCTGCACTGAGGCCATCTGGACCTGGGCTTTTTTTGGTTGGGAAATTTTGATGACTGCTTCTCTTTCCATAGGGGGGGGTTATAGGTCTATTTAAATTGTTTCTCTGTTCTTAATTTAATTTTGACAAGTGATAGCTATCCAGGAAGTCATCCATTTCCTTTAAATTTTCAAATTTTGTGGAGTACAGGTTTTCAAAGTATGACCTGATGATTCTCTGAATTTCCTCAGAGTCTGTTGTTTTGTTCCCCTTTTCATTTCTGATTTTGTTGCATGTTCACACTCTGCTGTTTGGTAAGTTTGGACAAAGGTTTGTCTATCTTGTTGATTTTCGCAAAGAACCAATTCTTCATTGCATTGATTCTTTGTACTGTTTTCCTAGTTTCTACTTTATTGAATTCAGCCCTCAATTTGATTATTTCCTGGCGTTTACTCCTCCTGGGGGAGTTTGCTTCTTTGTGTTCTAGAGCTTTCAGCTGTGTTGTTAATTCTTTAGTATAACTATTCTCCAGTTTCTTCATGTGGGCACTTAGTGCTATGAACTTCCCCCATAGCACTGCTTTCAACGTGTCCCATAGGTTAGGGTATGTTGTGTCTTCATTCTCATTGAATTCTAGGAAGTCTTTAATTTATTTTTTTATTTCTTCTTTGACCTAGGAATGGTGCAGTTGTGCATTATTCAATTTCCATGAGTTTGTAGGTTTTCTGCAATTTGTGTAGTGGTTGAATTCTAATTTTAAAGCATGGTGATCTGATGCATGGAGTTATTCCAATTTTTTTGAAGCTTCTGAGGTTTGATATGTTGCCAAGTATGTGGCCAGTTTTTGAAAAGGTTCCATGTGCTGGTGAGAAGAAGGTATATTCTTTTTTATGTGGATGAAATGTTTTATAGATGTCTGTTAATTCCAGTTGGGTCATTACTTCTATTAGACCCTTTGCTTCTTTGTTGAGTTTCTGTCTGGTATTCCTGTCTAGTGGTGAGAGTGGTGTGTTGAAATCTCCCACTATAAGTGTTTGGGGCTTTATATGTGATTTAAGTTTTAGTAATGTTTCTTTTACGAATGTGGATGCCTTTGTATTTGGGGCATAGATGTTCAGGATAGACACTTCATCTTGGTGGATTTCACCTGTGATGATTATGTAATGACCTCCTTCATCTCTTTTGATTGATTTTATTTTAAAGTCTAATTTGTTAAATATTAGGATTGATACCCCTGCTTGTTTCTTGGGTCCATTTGATTGGAGAATTTTTTCCCAACCTTTAACTCTCAGGTAATGTTTGTCTTTGAGGGTGAGGTGTGTTTCTTGTATGCAGCAGAAGGATGGGTTCTGTCTTCGAATCCATTCTGCTAGCCTGTGTCTTTTTGTGGGTGAGTTAAGGCCATTAATGTTGAGGGATATTAATGACCATTGATTGCTCATTCTTTTTTGATTTGGAATGGTTGTTGTTGGTGGAATTATGTGCGGAATTTCACCCCTTTGTTCGTTTGGCTGTTGGTAGAGAGGGATTCTCTAATGCCTATGTTTTTCTGGTTGTGGCTAACTTCCTTGGGTTGGAGTTTTCCTTCCAAAACTTTCTGTAGGGCTGGGTTAGTGGATATGTATTGCTTGAATCTAGTTTTGTCATGGAATATTTTGTTTTCTCCATCTATAGTGATTGAGAGCTTTGTCGGGTATAGTAGTCTGGGCAGGCATCCATGGTCTCTTAGTGTTGGTAGAATATCTATCCAGGACCTTCTGGCTTTCAGAGTTTCCATGGAGAAGTCAGGTGTAATTCTGATAGGTTTGCCTTTATATGTTACTTGGCCTTTTTCCTTAGCTGCTCTTAATATTCTTTCTTTATTCTGTATATTTGGGGTCTTGATTATTATGTGGCAAGGGGACTTTTTTGTGATCCACTCTATTTGGTGTTCTGTAAGCTCCTTATACCTTCATTGGCATGTCTTTCTTAATGTTGGGAAAGTTTTCTTCTATGATTTTGATGAATATGTTTTCTGCCCCTTTGTGGTGGTTTTCTTCACCTTCTTCTATCCTATTATTCTTAGGTTTGGTCTTTTCATGGTGTCCCATATTTCCTTGATGTTTTGTGTTAAGGATTCGTTGGACTTAAGATTTTCTTTGGTTGATGAATCCATTTCTCCTAGTGTGTCTTCAACAACTGGGATTCTCTCTTCCATCTCTTGTATTCTGTGGGTAATGTTGTATCAGTAGTACCTGACTGTTTGCTCAGCTTTTCTATTTCCAGCCTTTCTTCAGATTGTGTTTTTTTTTTATTGTCTCTATTTCAGTTTTCAACCCTTGCATTGTTTCTTGCAATTTTTGGTTTATCTTTTCATCCATTTGTTGCATTTCCTGCCTTTTTTGGTTTGTTCTTTCTTCCATTTCTTGCATTTTTTTGGTTTGCTTTTTCTTCCATTTCTTGCATTTTTTTGGTTTGCTTTTTCTTCCAGTTCTTGTATTTTTTGTTGTGTTTTTTCTTCCTTTTCCTGCCTTTTTTGCTTTGTTTTTCTTCCATTTCTTGCATTTTTTGCTTTGTTTCTTCTTCCATTTCTTTGAGGGATTTTCCTATATCCTCTTTTAGGGCCTCCATCATTTTCATGAAGGTGGTTTTAAGGTCATTCTCCTCTGCTTCATTTGCATTGGAATGTTGGAGTCTTGCTGGTGTGGACTCTAGAATCTGGTGGTGTCATATTTGTTTTTCTGATGCTGAGTGTGTTTTTGTATTGTCTCTTTCCCATCTCTTCTTCTAGTGGGTGCAGAAAGAGCCCCTTACTGGTCTGGTGGTTAGGGGATCAGAATTCCCTTTTGGTGGGTGCTAGCAGGTCCAATAATCTTGTAGTTCTTCTATTCCTCATCTTTGTTCTGATCCTGTGGGTGGAGAAGGAGAGCAGGAATCTGGGGTGCTTAGCCTCCCACCTGGTCCCCTGGTCTCCCTGGATCTTTTGGTTTCCTGGTCCCATTGGTGGGAGAGAAGACCTGGAATCTGGGATGCTTGGCTCCTGCCAGGTTGGAAGCTCTGTGCAGTTCCCAGGCAATCCCCAGGCGCTGGAACACAGGCCCGGATGCAGGGCCTGTTGTACCTGGTCCCGCCGGAACAGCTGGTCCCCTGTCTCCTGGATCTGCCGGTTTCCCATTTGTAGGTTCTTAAACACATCATGGCCTTTGAGGTTTCCTTGGATTGCTTATGCTTCATGGTTAAAACTAACTTGTAATGTCTACAGAGCTTTCTGGGATTAATACCACCTTGTCTGAAATTTCTATAATGACTTATTTTATTTATGGCATTGTGGTAGAATTTTTATATCATGTTTAATATCAGTGAGGACCTGAGGGTATATTTAACACATTTATTCATTATTCTCTGCTTCTAATTAATTACTTGATAGTAAATATTTAATTCACAGAATAAACAAAAGACTGTGTGTAATAATGAATGCTTTATATTAGTGGGTTTAAACTTTGTACCTTAAATATTTGTACAAACAAATAATATCTTGTCTACATTGGCATAAATGCAGAGTCATGATTTTTAATCAAAGCAATGATAAAGCATTTCTAATAACCACCTAGTGCACACTAATCATTTTTATTTTTTCAGGAATCTCATATGTGGGAGATTAATTTGTACTTACCCCAGCCCAACTCCCTATAACCCACCTAATAACAGCACCGCCTCTGTGATTTATGCTTTTGTACGGAACAAAGTATGCATCAGTGTAGACTATGGATCCAATGTCAAAGATGACCCACTCAAGGTCATTAGTGGCTCTATATGTGACCAAGATAGGGTAAGTCACTTTTATAACCAGTTTCTTAAAAAATTTAGTTTCATTTATTATTTTGGTCACCATTTTCCTATTAAAGTATCTGGCTTTGATTTGTACCGTGTAACTCTAAATGTTTGGAGGGAGAAATGAATGCATTTAACTGATGGTTAGCTAGTAATAGAGAAATAGAGATGTTTAATTGCTTTAGAACTTCCGCATAATGAATGATGGATAGAATATAGAGAAGAGAACTTCTGGGACTAGATTGTATTTGAGTGCTTCATAGCATAGAAAATAATTTTCTTTTTTATTTAGAAAAAATCTTATTTTATATATTAATCCCAGTCCCCTCTCATCCTCCCATCTACTCCTCAGAGAGCGTGAGACCTCCCATGGGGAATCATCAAAGTCTGTCACATCATTTGGGGAGAGCCCTCCCCCGTGTATCTAGGCTGAGAGAGTATTCCTCCATGGGGATGGGCTCCCAAATTTCATTTGTGCATTAAGGATAAATACTGGTTCCACTGTCAGAGATTCCATAGACTGCCCATTCACTTAGTCTTTGTGGCTTAGTGGAGTGGATTAAGCCACCCTTGAAACAAGGGTGCTTAGCGTCATTGTAAGACATTTAGTCAGTTACCTGAACAATGCGAGATGTTTCTAGAATAAATAATTTTGGGTGATAATAATAGCATTTACTCTATAGGGCTGCTGTGGAGACTAAAGGAGATTATCTAATATGGCTAGAACAATGCCTAGCACATAGTTTGAGCTAAGTATAATTTGGCTGATTGTTCTAATTTTAATTTGTATCAATGACCCCAACTCAAACCTGTAGCACAATTAGTAAAAGACCCAGATACAGATACCGGGGTTTAAGCATCAAGCTGAAGATCAGAAAGCAAAGCAGCCGGTCACTAGCTCTTACCTCTACCTCAGGCTGAAAGGGGGGTCCTGTCTTCAGCATGGTTGGAGAATAAATCCCCGAGACTGACTTGGCTTCGTTCTTTTATACCTTCTTAGTGCTGGGATTACAGGCGTGTGACCCCAAGTGCTGAGATCACCTTTGTCTGAACTGTTCCTCTTTAAGACAGGATCAATTTTCTGTAGCTCATACCTGCCTGACTTCTGAGCCCTGGGATTAAAAGTGTGTGCCAGCACCACCTAGCTCTATGGCTAGCTGGATGGCTAGCTAGTATGGCTGCTCCACTGACCTCTATGGCTTGTGGCTAGCTTTGCATTTTGATCTGTAGTGATTTTATTAAATAATAAATAGTGTTTCACCAACACACATTCAGGGAATACAAAGGGAATGAATTTAGCTCAAAATCTCATTTAATTTCTAACCATATCTGTGTTTGTGCAGAAGCATGTTATATTTTATTACAGCTATTGACTTCCCAGACTACATGAAAGTTATTTAAAATACCAGCCCACATATTTTTGGTTTATATTCATAGCAACATTTCAATGGAGACATGGTTTTTATGTTTCTTCCTGTATTCTAGCTCTCTACCACTCACATCATAGGAGTGTACTTGTTACAACTGATGAGCCCACAAGTACATACCCTAAGTCTTTAGAACACTTTGGTTGTACCTAGACAATCCTCAAATACCCAGTGTAATATTCCTAAATGTCATACTGGTCAAAAATCAAATATCAATAGAATTTAAAAGATATTTTATGGATGATGGTGGCATATACCTTTAATCCTAGCACTCAGGACGAAGAGGCAGAGCTTTGTGAGTTCCAGTATAGCCTGGTCTACAAAATGAGTTCCAGGACATCCAGAGCTGTTACACAAAGAAACCTTGTCACAAAAAACAATATTTATATATATGCATATACCTATGCACACATACATGTGTGTGCATATTATTTTTTAAACTAGTAAAACTAGTATGACACCAACATTTGAGGAATGTTACAAAATTACTAGAGTCAAATTATAGCAGCAGACGGTTATGGTTTTGATATTAAATTTCTACTTACAATGTTAAGATGGCTGGAGACCTCTGAATTGGAAACTTCTTTCTGTTTTCTTTAGATTTGTTTAAATAACATATGTGTAGAATCAAGACATTTAAAGAGTCGGTACAACGAGTGTGTGAGCAAGTGTAGCGGAGCAAAAGCCGTGAGTGATTGCATGTTTCTCAGCATCAGTGATTTACTGGTCTCTTATTTGGTGTCCAGTGTACCAACGTCTATAAACATGGGAGCTGAAATGAACAGTCAAACTCTGCTGCTATCATTAGTATTAGAAAACATTTGTGGTTAAGTCCAATTGACTTAAAACAAAACAAAAACCAAACCAAGCAAACAAAAAAACCCCTGTTACAGTAGGGCACTTTCCCAAAGGCATTAAGCACCTGAGTAGCTTGTTTACCACAAGGAGGTTAAGTCTCCTATTTGTGAGTCTGTGGGTTCATAAGGACATCAGCTTTGCCTTTCTCTTGAAAATACATCCTCATATTTACAGGAAAACACATCTCTATGCTTACAGTGCAAATACAAGTCCCCTTTAGTCCCCCACATGGTCAGTGTCACACAGCACCATGTTATATTCGTGTTATATTCGTTGTATCTGATGATAGACTTCGACAGGTTACCGTCACCCAAAGTCTGGTGTTTAACACTAGAATTTTAGAATCACTCGGTGTCTTTCATCTGTGGGCTTTGGTGAACATATGACAGCATCCACTACCATGCAGTGTTGGATGCTCCAAAACCCTGTGTTCCGACTTATCTACCCTACGTTTTTCTCTGACTACCAGCAGCCTCGACAGCCTCTGCTGACTTCACAGTGTTTCTGAACATACACTTCTCCAAAGAAGCAACACAAGTAGCCAACACGTGTCTGGAAAAAAATGCTCACTCCCATTCGTTATCAAGGAATTGCAAATCTAAACAACAATGTGAAATCTCACCCCAATCAGAATGGCTGTCCTCAGAAAGGCAAATAGAAACGAGTACTGTCACCAATGCCGAGGAAAGGGAACTGGTGATGGTGACTCTTCATTGTCAGCTGGACAAGAGCTAGAATCTCCTAGAGATACATCCATGGTTTGTCTGTGAAGGAGTTTGAAGAAACTTTTACCTGAGGTGGGAAGCCCCACCCTGAGTGTGGGTGGTGCTATGCCATAGGGTTTAGAAGGCAGCAGAACCTCGCCATTTATCTCTTTCTGCAGTGGGTGCATCTTTCTAGTTTCATACAGAACATTAGTGCACAGGTACACCCATTTTGTGCAAGTGATGCAATTTCATTTTTCTTTCTTACTGAAGGAGATTCCGAGTAGATGTACTTCTTTATTCATTCATCTGTTGGTACTCATGTAGGCTAATTTCATAATTAAGCTGTTGCAACTATACAGCAATCAGTCTGCATATACAGTCACTTCTATAGGAAGCTGTTTTTGGTTCTTTCAGGTCATGCATCCAGATGTGCTGCAGCTGGATAACATGAAAATTCCTTAGCAATAGTGTAGAAGGGCTCATGCCCTGCTTTGCATCCTTGTCAGTGTTTCCTGCTGCTTGTTTTCTTGGATAGATGGATAATGTTTTCCCAAGAAGCCAAAAGTTATTAAATGATAATCCTACTGCTAGGTATGGGATAGCTCTCTGTGAGCTGTTCCTCCTGGGGTTTCCAGAGTACCTACAAAACCTTAGAGACTGCAGTCAACATCTCTGGTTGTCTACGAGCATAAGAACATATGACACTATTGTTGAAGGCACCACACACTTTGGTTTCAAGGCACTGAGAAATAAAAATGGGTATGTATATACATACATACATACATATATATACATGTACATGTATAAATATATAAATTTAGGACACATGCATTATTTAGAACAAACACACACACATGGCATTGTAGCTCACTCTCACGTTCTGCCTTTCTTGTTACATCATTCCCACACTTCCCTATCTACCAATCTGTGTTCACCAGGGCAAGTCCTGAGAGAATAGTCATCTGCTCACATATTTATCTGTTTTTATTAAATTCAATTAGCCAGCCTGCATCATTTGATATTAAAGAGTACCTACTGGCCATCCTTTGAGACAAGGTCTTATCTTGTAGCCCAAGCTGGCCTGGAACCCGTGTCTCTTGCACCTTGGTCTTCTGAGCGCCACAATTACAGGCTCTCAACATTCCACATGGCTTTGGCTCTAGGGATCTTTACATTCTGTACTCCCAGTCTTGTCACTGGGATGTCACATGGAGAAGTTTTGTTTCTGGTTATGTCCTTTGCATGCTACATCTTTAGGGATAGCTAATTTTCTGCTGCAAGTTAGTTGATCAGGTTCTTTGCACCTTCAGCTTCTTCTAGCCCCTGGTTGTTCATATCGGGGCCCTCACACTGCTCTCTGAATAGAGCAACTCTGGGACCTTGCTTTATGGCATTAGTGATTCTGTTGAAATAGTCAGTGATGACACTTTCCACTGCAGGTATTTTTTTCTTTCATTGCCAAGGCTTTCATTTGGTTCCCTGCCCCAAATCTCAATTCCTTTGCATTTCGAAAATTTGGTATCATGGAAGCTGTTGATCTTTTTCATCAGGATTCTTGTCGTTACATTGAAATTTAGATCTAGCGAAGATGATATAAGTGGAGTTATGTGAAGAGCAGTTCTTTGCTAGTAAATGTTTAACAGTTAGCCTGGGGGAAGCTTTAGGTCCTTAATTGAACAAGCCAATATCAGAAGCAGCCAGCAGGAAGTCACTGAATCTGAGGAAGGGAAAAGGTGCATGCAAGTTAGCCTTGCTAGACTCAGAGTTGATGTATGTGTACGAGACCGAGCTCCAAATGTGAGAGTAAACATTTGATGATGTCATAGCTCGTTGATGCAAATATGTCTCCTTATGTAGCTTTGTAATGAATCTTCCTTTGATGTGTGAGCTTTAGTCCATGGAACCAAGTGTTCCCTTGGTGAGATTGTCTCTAAGTCACGCAAACATGGTCTTACTTGCTTAAGATGAAAAGGTAAATATTTTGGCCTAGCACATAGTTTCATAATTAAAAAAAACCCATTTACACTTCTCAAAACGATTCTAGGTATGCAACTCGCTCAGCCAATGTCATTGTATGGACTGTAACACGAAAAGCCGATCTGCCCTATGGCCTCACAGTAAAGGCAAGTATTTATGTCTCTAAATAGCTATTGAGAAAAAGTTATGAAATCACCCGGTTCCATTGAAATAAAACCACATTTTGCCACCCTAGAAGAAACTAACAGTGTTGGAAATCGAAAGGCAATTAGACTTTTCTCAAATAATGGGAGCAAATGTTGGTCCAAAACTGAAACCTGCTCATCAGTTCTGTTAGAAGTGTGCGAGGCCAGGCAGGTGTGGTGGGCTCTGTTTCTCTACGCTGCTGTACCTGTCGTTTGTGGGATGGGGGTGTTCCCATCAGTCTTTCTGGCTTCACAAATTATGTGGGACCTCAGCTTTCAGCAGTGTTTACTTCAGTCACCATGTTTCTGTGAGAAATGACATAGAGGATGTAGATTTCATGAAACAAATGGTAAATTTCACCCTAAGAGTTAATAACAGAGGAGCTACTACCATGACAACCTTTTATGTCCGCCATTTATGCACCTATTAGATTTGAAAGTAGTTCTGGAACACTCTCTTTCTGTATTTTCGAGACAGGGTTTCTCTGTGTAGTAGCCCTGGCTGTCCTGGAACTCATTCTGTAGACCAGTTTGTCCTTGAACTCACAGAGATCCACCTGCGTTTGCCTCCGAGTGCTGGGATTAAAGGTTTGCTCTACCACACCCGGTTGGAACTCTCTATTTCATAATTGAAAATAGTTTTTATTTCCACACAGTATATTCTGATGGTTTCCCCTTCCCCAACCCCTCCTATATCCTCCCCATTTTCCCACTCACCCAAATTCACACCCTCTTCTTGAACTCTTAGGATCTGACAGGTTCAGGTAGGCACTGTCAATAAGTGATGGAATTAGCGTTGGAGTCAAGCTTCTCAATTTTTATTTGGTACCCCTCACTGCAATCTGGTATATATAAATGCAGCCCTAAGGTGAGAAGCCAGTCATCTCTTACCCTCAAAGGAGGTGACAGACAAGCACAATGAGATCTGTTGAGGACCCTGTAACAAGTCAAAGGTAGGTAGTCTTATTGTAATCAACCTGCATTCAGATCATTGGCTTTCAAGCACTAACAGGGTTCCAGTGGGGGCTTTCCTGTAATCGCCAGAGCATGTAGAATACTCTGGAAACCTCTGAAATTTTGTTTCTATGTTCTAAGGAACATTTTAGATACAGTTTCAAATATTGTGATACTAGAGTTAGTTTTCTGTGCTCCTTGATGGGAAAATTATTTTAATGAATTTGTAGCAATTTGAAAGCAAATCACACTATTTAATGTTTAACACACCTTTTGTTTTTAGATCTGAACATGCAAGGACTTCCTAAGAAAACAGAGAAGTGGTTTCTAAGTTTGTACATTGCCTTAATTCTTCTCACCTCAACATTACTAGTAGCGGCTGTGTGGAAAGGCTTGAAACGGTGGCTTTTCAAGGAAGAGGAATTCCTGAGTAGCGAGTAAATTGAATTTATTTTCCGAAGTTACATTTTAGTAGCATTAGGACCTTGCTACATAAGATGTCAGGAGAAGCAATGATGGGTTTCCCTGGGAGTTTGAGCACTATATCAACATTTCTAATTGTGTGAGGCTTTGGTGAAAACCCTGGTTAGTGAGCACTTTGGCAGACAAGACCGGTTTGGGAGTGTGGTTAAGGCACTACAGTCACTGTTGTGTTAGCCAAGCCATCTTCCTGTGTCTGTCCCCAGACAGCTCCAAGGTTACTGATGTGCTTGGCTTTCTGCCTGGGTGTTGAGGCTCCGATACCCGGTCCTCATGCTCCTTTGTGTGGCTGTCTACTCCCCACACTTCCCCGGAAATTGCCAACACTTGTTCATATGTGATATCATCTACATGTCAAATAAGATACTAGCAAACGTTGTAATCTGGCTTTGTTTATGGCATGCTTACCAAAGGCTTTTAAGCAGGTCATGTTCTACATTTGAGCACTCAATGGTACCATAAGTTCAAGTTTGCTAAGCTCTCTTTGGTCTGTTTGCACATTAGAGGGTGCTCCAAATTCAAGTTTGTCTCAAACTTAGAGTTTGTGTGTTATTCTGCTTGAGTTGGAGGATTGTCTGTCATTGGCATTCCTCTCTTGTGAGTAATACAAGGGGCGTAGGTGTCACTTTGAGATCCTGACTTCAATTCTTTTAGAATGCCTCAAAGTAGGATTTCTGGATGGGATTGTTGGTAGTTGTGCTTTTAATATCCAGGGAAACCATTCCAGGGAAATCCTCACAAGTACTTCATTTTCAGCCGGGCAGTGGTGCATGCCTTTAATCCCAGCACTCAGGAGGCAGAGGCAGGTAGATCTCTGTGAGTTCAAGGCCAGCCTGGTCTACAAAGTTACACAGAGAATCACTGTCTTGAAAAAAATAATAAAACAACAACAACAATAACAAAAAAAACAAGTACTTCATTTTCTCTCTATATTTTTCACTCTCAACTTCTCACATTTCTAGCTATCCTAACAGAGGTGGGTTTCTGGTACTGAAAATTTGTTTATCTTCTTTAGAAAAATACTTGTTCAAGTCCTTTGGGCATAAGTTTATTTTGAGACAGGGTCTCATTATGTCACGCTGGCTGACCCAGAACTCTTTATATAGATCAGGCTGATCCTGAAGTCACAGAGATCTGATTTGTCTCTGCCTCCTACCTGCTGCAATAAAACCTCAATAGCAGCTCTCTCTCTCTCTCTCTCTCTCTCTCTCTCTCTCTCTCTCTCTCTCTCTCTCTCTCTCTCTCTCTCTCTCTCTCTCTCTCTCTGTGTGTCTTTTGCGCACACACTTCCAAAACTGTAGGGATAAGAGAAAAAGCAAGCCCAGGAATTTTGTGTCCTCATTGTGGCACTGCTTGGAATTTGTGTTTTTCTGTGCTCAAAGTACTTAAAAAGAGTCAGATGTCATTCAAGAGGCTGAGGGTGTAGCTCTTTGGCAGAGCACTTACTTACCTGTGTGTGTCCTGTGTTCTGTTTCAGCTACCATTGAAATAACTTATTTTCATCTTTATTCAGATCCCATTTTGTATTATTTTATTTATTGGTAACAATATTCACAAAGTTAAGATTTTTACTTTTTTTTTTTACTGCTAATTAACATGCTATTTTCTGTTTCTTTCCAGAACCAAATCAGAAGGCAACACACACACCTACAGCAAGTGAGTATATTAAAAGTTGACCTAAAGAAACATGTTGGAAATGAACTATAAATTAATTATAAATCATACTAAAATTTTAGACATCTTAACTTCAGCTGGTAAGGTAGTGCTATGAAAAACCAGACTAATAATATGTAATCATTTTTATTTTAATAAGTCCTTCAGTTATTTACTAATTTATTGTAATTCCACCCTCCCCTGACCTCCTGCCTGCAAAACCTAAGGAATAAAATGCCAAGTCTAACAGAAGAGATGGGTGATGCATAAGTCTGAAACTGTAAGCAAGCCCCCAGTTAAATGCTTCCCTTTAGAAGAGTTTTCTTGGTCATGGTGTCTTATCACAGCAAGAGAACAGACTAAGATAGAGATGGAAGGAAATCCATTTTGTATGTGTGCCACCTTTTTGACATCTGTTCATCTGTTGATGAACATCTGGGCTAATTCCGTTTTCTGAGTGTTGTGAATAGAGCAGCAATAAACCTGGCTGAGCAAGAATCTCCTTAGACTAGGGAGTGGTACAGCTGGGTTAAATGGTAGTTCAGTTTCTATATGTTTCAGAACCTCCACATGGATTTCCTAGTGGCTGCCTCTCTTTATACTCCTGCCACAGTATTAAGAATTGCTCTTTCCCCAGATTCCTGTCCTGTGTGAGTTCCTTCCCTGACTTCCTTTGACGATGAACAGTGATGAGGAAGTATAAATCTAATGAACTCTTTTTTCCCCAACTTGCTTTTTAGTCATGGTGTTTTGTCACAGAGATAGAAACACTAAGACAAACATAAATATTATATGTAATTTTAAGAAGTTATTAAATAATTATTTGATTAATACCCCACATCTTTTCAAGCATCTTTAATGTTATTCACCTTCCTCCTACTCCAAGCCAAAGCCCCACTCCTGTTTTTCCCATTCACCCCATTCATAGAATCTGTGTCCTGCCATCATCCCCTCTAGTGTTTCTTTGCCTAACCCCTTTTGGTCCATTTTTTACATTCCTGGTTTCTGCAGAGGTCAGTGTTTCTAAATCTTCCTAATGATGCAACTCCTTAATACAGTTAGTCATAGTTGTGTTGATCCCCCACCATAAAATTGTTTCGTTGCTACTTTATAACTGTAATTTTGCTAGTGTTATGAATTGTAATGTAAATACCTGTTTTTTGATGCTGTTAGTTAACCTCTGTGAAAGGGTTGTTTGATGCCCAAAGGATTGAGACCCACCGGTTGAGAAAGGCTGTTTTAGGCTATATACACTGGCATACATATTTGTCTTTCTGGGGTCTGGAATTTTGGTTCTCAGCTTGTGGGCAACCCATTTTGGGGTAGCATATCAGATATTTACATTACAATTAATAACAGTAGCAAAACTACAATTATGAAGTAGCAACAAAATAATGTTAGGTATGGTTGGGGGTCACCACAACATGAAGAACTGTGTTAAAGGGTCGCAGCATTAGGAAGGTTGAGAATCACTGCCTTGGAGTCTGAAGGGCAGGACTTAGCAATCTAGAGTCAGTCAAATTTATATGCTGTGTTTTAAACTGATAAGAAACAAAATGTCTCTGTTGTTACCACATCCCTTTCCCTACAGAGCTGAAGATTTGCTATGTGTGTTACACTTGGTATGCTGGTGAACAACAGTGCTACTCACACATCTTAAATGTTTAGATTTTGCTTGGCATAGTATACGTCGTCTGTTCTGCATTCTCAATGTGTATTAATTTATTGGTACTTTCAGATGTAATTTTGATTTTTATTTAGGTCTGCATCAGAATATAGTACTCAACCACAAACCATCAGGTAAGCATTTAGGAAGTATTGCCTATAAGTAAATAAGATAAATTTATGATGAAAAAAATAGTTTGCAAATAACTGGTCAGTATGTTTTTGAGTAGCCACAGTTGGTAAAATACATCAAAACAAACGTTAGTATTTGTCAGTCTAGGAACAAGTATTAAGTAACTGGTCTTTCTTCAGTGGGTTGAACCTTATTTGATTGCCTACTTTTGTGATATGTAGGCACAACACCATTGTCCCAGTTAGCATTTCTATTGCTGTGAAGGGACATCATGACCCTGGCAACTCTTACAAAGGAAAACACTTAATGGGGTGGCTTATAGTTTCAGAAGCTTAGTCCATTATCATCATGGAGTGACATGCATACATAGTGCTAGAGAGGCGGCTGAGAGTCCTACATCTTGACCCGTGGACCCAAAGTGAACTGAGACATTGGGAGGTATCTTGAGCATATGATACCCCAAAGCCTGTCCTCACAGTGACACACTTTCTCCAACAAGGCCATTCTTACTTCAACAAAACCACACATCCTAAAATAGTGCCACTCCCTGTGAGCTTATGGGGGCCAATTACATTCAAACTACCACAACTAGTAAAATGTCACAAGAGAGAAGATAAGGATAATTAGTTGGAAAAACATGCTGGGACACATACAGACAGATGTCACTACTCAGTTTAGATTGTTATTATCCCAAATATGAACAACTGAGTGAATTAAAGAATTTAATTAAGGAATTTCTTTTTAATGGGTGTTCACAGCCCTAGATAAGCAAACACCTACTGGTTTGGAAGAAAAAAATAGCAATAAATGGGATTTTTTTGGTTGGATTAGTAGGAAATATGTAATAGCGGAAGCAGAAGATGGGACAGAAACACCGCTGTATCACAGGAGCCTCTGTCTTGTGTCTGTACTGCGCTCTCTGGGACTCTCAGGTCATGCTCATTCTTTTCCCTGTCTCACGAGTTCATTGGGTTGACGAGAAATATGGAGTCTGTGGATATAAAATGGAATAGAATCAAAATTCTGACTTTTGGCATAATGGTATAAAAATGTAAATTTTTCAGAAAGTTTTCTCTTTTCACCGACAACTTTGAAGGGAAAGAAGGGACTGCAATACTAACCAAACATAGTTCAACTTGCACAGATTGTATCCTGTGGACCTAAAAAGGTGTTTCTTATTTATTTAGATCAAAATCCCAGACAAGTAGTGCAACACCTGCCAACAGGTGAGTGTGTTAGGAAATGCTTCTTAAAATGAACATTCTTAAAGTGACATTAATAATCCATGGTTACCTAATACTTAAGAATTGATTAGTTCGATGAATGGCTAAAATACTAGAAGAATAAATGAACTACTTATATTTTCTTCAGTTGTTATTGCTAAGTAATATGTAAATCTAAACTAGCAGTTGCTAATATTCTAAGAGTTCTGGAAATTGCTGTTATCATTAGAATGGAGCTGGGGAATTTTGCTCAATAAGACCTAAGGATCTATAAATTGGTTTATAAAACAAAAATTGTTATAGACCCTTTTATCTATAAGGCACCAGTTGGCAACAGTATATGGTTTGTGAGTTTTAAGGGTCAAAAAATTCATTTGGGATACAGGTGTCATTGCATATGCCTGTAAACTCCCCTGCATTTGGGATGAGGAGGTGGGAAGATGTCAGCTTGGTCTAAATGACTGACTCTGTCTCTCTCAAAAAAGTTAGCTAAGTGGGATCAACCTTCTCTTAGCAGTAAGGCTACTCAAAACCAAGTTGTCAGCCCTCAAAGCAAAGCAGCCTGAATGACCTTAGCAGGCTGTGTTTACATACTTATGCACATATATGTAACAATAATAATCAAAGAGAGAGGCACAAGCGGGTGGCACAGGAGGAGTTGGAGAAAGGAAAGGGGATGGGGGAATTGAGTAACAGTATTTAATAAAAACGAGTACGATAGCTGTTCATGTGTCACATGCCCATAATCTCCTCACTTAGGAGGTGGAAGCAGGGAGGACCAGAGGTTTGGGGTCATCCTCAGCTACTTAATGGGCTCAAGGCCACCCTGGCCTATGTGGGAGCCTATTTCAGCAGAATAAATAAAAGTTTAAAACATGGTTTACATTTTTGGTTGTGTCTAAAATGGCCGAGAGGCACTTGAGAAAGTGCTCAACATCCTTAGCCATCCGGGAAACGCAAATCAAAACAACTCTGAGATACCATCTCACTCCTGTCAGAATGGCTAAAATCAAAAACACCAACGACAATTTATGCTGGAGAGGATGTGGTGAAAGGGGGACACTCCTCCATTGCTGGTGGGAGTGCCAACTGGTTCAGCCACTTTGGAAATCAGTATGGAGATTCCTCAGAAAAATGGGAATAAACCTACCACAAGACCCAGCAAATACACTCTTAGGCATATATCCAAAAGATGCCCATTCATACAACAAAGATGTCTGTTCCACTATGTTCATAGCAGCATTATTTGTAATAGCTAGAACTTGGAAGCAACTTAGATGCCCCTCAACCGAAGAGTGGATAGAGAAAATGTGGTACATTTACACAATGGAGTACTATTCAGCAGAAAAAAAAAACAATGGAATCCTGAGATTTGCAGGCAAATGGATGACACTAGAAGAAACCATCCTGAGTGAGGTAACCCAGTCACAAAAAGAGAAACATGGCATGTACTCCCTCATATATGGATTTTAGATCTGGGGAGTGCCAGCCTATAATCCCATGGCCAGAGAGTCTGGGAAACAGAACTTTCATTCAGTGGCTGATGGAAGAAGAGGCAGACTCCCATGGCTAAGCACTGAGCTGAACTCAAGAAAGCCAGTAACAGAGAGGGAGGACTGATGACCAAAGGGATTAAGACTGGGCTGGTTTAACCCCCAGAAACAGCTGACCAGACAAAGGTTAACTCTTGAATCCCAGGCATCAGCCTGGGAATCCAGCATGGGACTGATCAAGACCCCCTGAATGTGGGTGTCAGTGAGGAGGCCTAGGTAATCTATTGAGCCTTGGGCAGTAGATCAGTACCCATCCCAAGTATACACACGGACTTTGGACTCCCATCCAACAATGTGAGATGCACTCTCACCCTGAACTCTTGGGGGGAGGGTCTAGGCCCTGCCCTATATGAAATGACAGACTATGGACACCCCCATGGAGGGCCTCACCCTCCCTGGGGAAATGAGGGGATAATGAGGGGGGGATTTGGGGGAGGGCCCGGGAGGAGGGGAGGGAAAGGGAGAGGGACCTGGACCTGACTTGTGAAGCATCCTTGTTTCTTATCTAAATTTAAACTGAAAAATAAATAAAAAAAATAAAAATAAAAAAACATGGTTTACAACATGAAACGAAAAAAAGATGTGTAAAAATAAGAGTATTAATTTAAAAAGTAGCTATATTAATGTATTATAAATATATCATTATATCTGAAAAATGTAAAGTCTGTAAATGCTTTTCAGTTATAAGTACTTGATTCAAAATTAAAAGTTCTAGAAAATGATGAAAGTCAGTTACTTGTGGCCAAAACAAGGTGAGGAGCAAACAAAATAGGAAGCATTGTTTGGGAAGCGTCTTCTGCGGGCTCACTCGTTTGCTCTTTGCACCCCCTTCACTTTGTGAGGGGGTTATGCTTGGTGCCACTACCCTGAACTGCATTTGTTTCTTTTCTGCAGTTACTAACAACCCCTTCCGGAGGAGGAGAATAGCACCCAGGGACTCACTAAGAAATGAAGAGTCCACGTTCTTCCCTTGGTCACAGCTAAAACAGCTAATAAACCAAATGTGGACTAATTTCCAGGCTTGCTTGTCTGTTTTTCTGTGTCATTTCCTCTGCCTTGGCATCCTGTCCACTTGTAGTTGGGTCACACCAGTGCTCTGGGGGCAGTCAATGGTGTCAACTGTGGGTCATCTTTACTGTCTCTCTGACAGTATCTTCAGCATCTCCTGCTGTCTTTAACCCACCCCCTCCTCTCCCTCAACCCCCAAACTACCACTCCACTGCTTATCCTTTGCATCCTGGCCTTCTGGGTCAACTACAGGAATCAGAGCCGTGCTGGGTGTGTACCGTGGAGCCCTGGCCTTGAATAGAGAGGAGGAAGCAAGGTGAGTGCCAGTATTCAATTCTCTGCTTCCTGACAATAGGCACAAAACCATGTCTTCTCTACCAGGATGGACCGTAATACTCAAACTGTGAGCTAAAATACCCCCACCCCAGCCCACAAGACAGTTTTGTCGGATATTTTGTCACAGCAGTGAGAAAAGTAAGACAGGCACCACACTTCTCATCAGTGCCCAGACTTGAAGTTTCAGGAACCCACATAGAAGGGCAAGCTTTAGAAATTGCCTTGCCAGACTAGCTTATTGCCAGGAACCTAGAGACATTGACAAGAGTGGTACCCTATGTTACAATGGATGCTACATATTCCTCATATTCATTAAGCCTATATGTGGATATTTCTGCCGGAGTGGACCTTACACTCTACCAACAATTCCTGGCTAGAAGCAGTCCTTATATTGACTGTAAGCAGGCAGGGTTTTGGCATTTTTTATTTCTAGTCCAGAGTTCTACTAGGGTAGGATTGAAAGAAGTGCTCTTAACGGGCCTAGGGCCAAGGTGAAAGAGTAGTCCCCCTACAGACTCCCTTTCTCTGTAGGTCTAAGGCGGTCCTGCAGAAGAATTTTAGCCATGAATCCATGCCAGTTACCAAGATGACTGTAGGGATAGACAGAAGGCAGAATTGGAACCCACCTAATTGAGGCTCAGAAGGGAGTCTCCATGAGGACTCTGACCAGGACCAGATCTCCAGGACAGAATGGGGGAGGGCCCACCTCTCTCCCTTCAGGGGCTTCCTTCCTGACCTCTGAACTTGCTGGATCCTGGCTAGATATGGTACACCAGCTGGATAATCTCTAAGGGGCAGGCTCAGAAAGAGTCAGGGCCAATGCTCGTGGGTGCTCTTTAGCCACACCAAAGTTAACGGCAACAACTTTCTCCAGGGAATTTGGAATTATATTAGAAAGGGCGTTTTATCATCTTCTGTGCTCCAACCATTCCATAAAGATCCCCACCCACACTAGTTACTAATGGGTTTTAAGTCTCCCTGGTGAGTGGGTAACATCAATTTGTCAGTCTTCTAGACACTTTCAGTCTCTGTGTGTTGCATGGAGGTGGGTGGCAGTTATGCGGGTTAGCCATTTGACAGACGTCTGATACCTGATCTATCCAGATAACAGCTAATATTGCTCTCCCTCAAACATTCTTTTAACTAGGTGAAGGAGTGTTCCCTTTCCAGGTGGCATATTTAGTAGAGGGATTTGAACATTCTCCCAGTGTAGGCATTGGGATAGCCGTAGATGACCATCAGCAGTGACTCCAACCCCCTGGAGAAGCATGCGTCCCCTTTTTAGGGACAGATGGAAGACACAGGGAGAAGAGCATTCAAATTTAGGCTCTCTCTTGGTCAAACCTATCCAAGAGGAAGATGCTATATTTTTATTGCTAATGAATCATTGATGGAAACACCAGAAAAATGAACAATTCAATTAAAAAATCAGATCGGTGATGAAACTAAACAGTTCTTGATAAAATGTGGTTAAGGAGCATTTAAGAAAATGTTCAAAATCCTCAATTCTTAGGACAACTCAAAAACTACTTTGAGCTTTCTTCTTACCCCAGTCAGAATGGCTAAAATTAAAAAACAAATGGTGACAAAGGATTATCTGGGTGTGGGGAAAGGGAACATGTATTTGATGCTGGTAGGCATGCAAACCTGCTTAACCACATGGAAATTAATATGGAGGTAAAATATATTATCTACCATATAATCCAGTTATACCCAAAGTACTTTATATCTTACCGCAGAAGTACTTGATTATCTGTGTTTGCTTCTGCTCTAGTCATAACATCCAGGAAATAGAAATAGCCTAGATGTCCAGCAACCATGGGTACTGGATAGGTTTATACCAAATTTACCAAACTTGAATTTCCCACCATTTGCTGGGCCCTAAGTCATCTTATTAGACAGCTGTCAGTTACCCCAGAATAAAAGGACCATTCTTGCACTTGGGGGCTGCCTTGCCATGCTGGTCATTTTGTTGTTTTTCTCCTTTGACAGTTTGCAAAGCCCCTTCAGATTCTGTGACATCCCAGCTCAGGGAGGAGGCTTTCAGGTCAGCTCCATTTTGATTCCACAAGGTCTTATGTTCAAAGTGTGGTGTCTTCAGCAATATGGTCCTGCCCTCAAGTTCTGTGAAGAAACCAAGGGTCTTGACTCCCTTGACCAAAAACTGCAAAGGAGATTTTTGGTAGCTTATCTTTAGCTCTTGGGGAGAGCATTATCACCCAGTGTGGCATAACTCCAATAAAAGCATATATGCAAATATGCATACATTATATATTGTATTTTAAGTAAGCTTATAAAATGTTTCCTGTAGCTTAAAAAAGAATTCTTAGTGTTTTTATCTTTCTCCCTTCCTCAGTTAAGTTTCTTGCCTCCTCCCCACTTTTTTTTGTATTTCTTTCCTTCAAAGCGTATGCGTTCCACAATGCCCCTCTCTAGGACTCCTCCCACAGTTGCATTCTATTTTCTTGGCTTTTTTTTAGTTACTTCAGCTTATATACCCAGCCCTTTAAAAGACTAATTAAAGGACGAACCCAGGAGCGTGACAATAAGATCCTGAAGAGAATGTTTTGATCAAGGAGTATCTTAGGGAATGTTGTGCATGCAGCTGCAAAAATAAAAAAAAATCATGTCTGCAGCATTTTATTGTGCTCAGTTATTGGGACGATATGCTAGAATATCATTGGAGGACTCGTGGCGGCCATCAGTAACCTCAACGTTTCCGAGTGTCTTTTCCTCAGTAGAATGGAAATTTAAGAGAATGATAAACGATACAAAGAAAACCAACTCTCCGAAGCCTGAAGAGTAAACCGTAGGCAGGAGGCTTCCTTTCACAGTTGTAAGGATGGTTGGTACAGGCAGCCTACCTGGAAGTGTGCCACCCATTCTCCTGCTCTTTCCTCACAGGTTTCCTTGGAGACAGCCCTGCAGGTTCGGTGCGCTCGAGCTGCCATTACTGGCCACAACGCCCTTCCGCCGGGCCTGATGCTCCTCAGCTTGGCTCCAGGACCACCGAGGGAGCCATGTTCCTCCTCCTAGTGCTGTTTACGGGTCTTAGTGGGCTGCAAGCCGGTCAGAGTGAGTCTAGAGATAGAAGAGTCTCAGCTTCTGAGGGGCCAGGGTGGTTGAGGGGCAGGGTGGACATCACCTAGCCCCAGGCTCACACACTGCCCTGGCTTTGCTTTCTCATTGCTCCTCCTCGGTTGCAAAGCATTCCCTGGCATGGGATGGGTTTTCTTAATCATAATGTGGATGACAATGAATCGTATTTCCTCTCCCAATTCTGTTACAAGAGCCAACTAATCAACACAAAACAAACAAACAAACAAAAAAACAAAACCCACACAAAACAAACTTTTTTGGCAACTGTTGTCCTCCTTGAATAAGTTCTTTTTTCTTTTTTAAAATTTAGTTAGTATTTTTCATATATCATATTTTGATCATATTCTTTCCCTTTACCCAGATCCTCTCTCATCTCCCTACTCTACCCAACTTTATATTCTTTCTGTCTTACTCAACTGCTCCTCCCAACAAAAACCGAAACAAAAAGCCTACCAGTAAGATAAAAAGCCAATAAAAGTACCAAACTAAAACAAAAGACACATGGTGTCTGTTTTGCGCTAGCCAACTTCTCCTGGGCGGCACGTGGAGTGATGGGATACACACAATGCCATCCCACTAGAGAAAACTGATTTTCGCTTTCTTCGTAACCTTTTTTTCATGATGGTACTCAACGAGTCTATGTTTCTAAGCTTTTCACATCACCGTAGTTCAGTGTTTAAGTAGTTTAGCTGCGAATCGAGAAGCGGGAGGACAGTGGGAAGCGAGAAAGAGGAGAGCAGGGGAGAGGAAGGAGAGGAAGGGGGACAGGGAGGATGATTAGCAACATTTTAATATACAGTGGAAAAGGGAAAGGAAAAGATGTAGAAACCACCCAAACAACTGTTAACATAGAGAAACAGACGCAGAATTAGACTTAAAAAATGGGTCTCAAAATGGTATTGCTTATTTTTATTTTTAGATCCTCGGAAAACCATCCTGCAGACAACGGTTCCCGAAAAGATTTCATCACCAGATGTGGAAAAAGACCCTGAAAATAATGTAATAGCAATATCATCTTTATATGTCGCTCGTGTGAAGTTTAGCACATCAAGACTGAAACTGGTTAGGTAGAGGCGGGGCTGGAAGAGCCCAGAAAAGCTCAACCGCAGCAGGGCATTGTGGGATAGGAGCTTCCGGGGTGGGGCCTAGGGGGTGCCAAAAAGGTGGCAAACTACTAGAATGGGGCCCCAGGATGGAATTAGGGTGAGGCTGTGATACGGAGGGTAAGGTGAAGTAGGCTGTCTTGGGATACTGGAATTATCTGTCTAAACCAGAAGATACTAGTTCACACCAGGCAACCTTCTGCCCTAGGGATGCTAGGAAGGACCATCACGGGTGCTAGGCTTCATCACCACCTTCTCAGTACAGCATTTTGAAGGCTCAGAAACCCACATGGGAAGGGAAGCCAAAGACCCTTGCATATTTTTTATTAGTTTTGCTAGTCCTTTAAAACATAAAGTGGAACAAACACATAAGTTATCACGTGACTGACGTTTTAAAAACTATTTTTGTTGCAGATTGTATATCTTATTATGATAGCTGAAAAACCATATTTTGTCCATCTTAAAAA